GCTACCACTGTCAACCACTCGGAGGGGGATCTATGTAGGAGATCCTGGATAGAGAGGGAGAACAATGTGGAACAAAACTCAAAATCATAAAAAAAAAAAAAAAAAAAAGAACCAGGTTTACTGGTCTCATAGAGCCTGATGGAACGCCTGAGACTATGGCCCCTAGATGCCCTTCAGGTCTGCAACTGAACCCTGTCCTGTGGCTTCCAGCCAAACAAAAGACAGGTATATGAGCTGAACATTTACATTAGGTAGTTACACTCCTTGGAGAGATCAATCATGGGACAATAGAAGGGCTGTGTATGCACAGGGAGACAGCTCAGGGGGACAGGAGTGTATGGGAGGGAAGGACACAGGGAAGAGGTAACTGGGGAGGCAGTGGGAGGGAAGCTGTTGCATTGTGGGAAATTGTAGTCAATGTCTGCATTGAGACAAAATGTATATAAACTGCTGTATGAAAAATAAATTTGCTCTATAAAGTTTCACCCAAATCACAATAAAATTTTTTTTAAAAAGTTAGAAATACCATTTGATACAGCAATCCATTACTGGGTGTAGAGCCTAGAGAAATAAGAGCTGCGACACAGACACGTATATGCACACCCATGTTCGTCGCAGCACCACTCACAATAGTAAATAGATGGAAACAACCTAAGTGCCAATCAGTGGATGAACGGATAAACACTCTATGGCACATACAGACAATGGGATACGATGCAATGTTAAAGAATCGTGAAGAACCTGCTGAACACCTCATCATGGGGATGAACCTGGAGGACATTATGCTGAGTGAAATTAATCACAAAAGGACAAATACTGTATGCGACCACTACTGAAAAAAGCTTCCGTTGGGGAGCGAAGGGACTTGCCTAAGGCTCCACAAGGCTTGTTAGGTGCCGTGGAGTCCATTCTGACTCAGGGACCCCATGCGACAGAGTAGCATTGCTCCATAAGGTTTCCTAGGAGTCATAGTGTCATAGGAGCAGATCACCAGGTCTTTTTCCCATGGCGGCACTGGGTGGGTTCAAACTGCTGACCTTCTGGTTAGCACCCAAGTGCTTAACTGGTGCACCTGCAGGGCTCCTTTGGCATGCTCATGTAAAAAAAAAAAAAATTTGCCATGGAGTCCATTCTGACTGATAGCAAGCCCATGTGACAGAGTGGAACTGCCCCACAGGAGCTTCTTGGCTGTCCTCTTCACGGGAGTAGATTGCTGGGCCTTTCTTCTTGGAGTCGCTGGGTGAATCCAACCCACCAGTCTTTTACTTAGCAACTGAGTACTTAACCATTCCAAGGCTCCTTACAAAGGTTTGGAACCAGCTTTTACAGACCTGGGAGAAAACAGCCGGGAGCTGTTTGCATTAGGTGTCTGCCCTCGGCTGCCCTCTGTAGGACAAGCTGAGAATCAAATGTTGGAGGCGTGGAATTTAAAACCAGACGTCCTAAGATTTCTTGTGAAAGCCCCCCTTGCACACCTCCAGGCATGGGGAATCACTCTTCCCTCCTGAGGGGCCCATCTTGTCTTTTGCAGTTCTACCAGTGGTCTCTCCTGAATGTCCCATGGGTACCCCAGATTCACCACTCTGGGAGGCAGTTGGACAGATGGGAAAAGTGGCCCACAGAGGACTTATCTTGCTGTGTGACCTCAGCAATGTGGTCTCCCCTCTCAG